ACAAAAGCTGCACAGACAAGACGCCTCCCATACAGGATAAAGATGCCTTAAGACACCATAAGGCGCTGGAACGCCAGTGCGCCAAAGCACAGAAAGCAGCGGCTACAGCAACAGCACTGGAGTCGGGTGTTTCAAAAGCGACTCCTTCAGCATCTGGGGAGGCTAACTCTGGAATTACAAGCCTGACAGAACTGTCTTTAACCCCAGTGACCCCTGGCCAATCCAAGTCAGGCCATTCATTACTTCGTACCAAAGGTGTTTCACTTTCATTGCCAGATGTCTCCGTGGCCAGGTCATCGCGCTCACATCACCACATGGCGGAGGCGACCTTCACACCAATGGTGGCAGGCCTCCGAGCGCCAGAGGGGCCCTTACCGACAACTCCAGTCTATGCTTTCATCTGCATTATCATCCCTCCTGGCTGCAGGATTGCAGCAGGCAGCACAGGTGCTTTTACAGTCATTGGCGGCTCAGGGGACGCAACAGCGACAACAGTCCCAACCTCAGCCGTCACAACATCTTGCATCTTCATCAGACAACTCAGACCAAGCAGAGGAGGGACCCGAGGACATCGAGTTCTCAGAGGACGAGGGCTTGAGGCGCGATGCTCCAGCTTTCTCTGGCTTGTTCTGCCCGGCCTTGTTGAAGTCCCTCCTCCATAAGGCTCGCCTTACGACTAATTTAGGAGTGCCAGGGGAGGTCACAGCAACCACTCAGTTGACTGTGGGGACCCACGACGCACTCTTCAAATCTTCTAAACCAGAAAAAGACTGTATTCCCTGCCCTCAACTGTTTTCGGACGTAATCCAGAACCCCTGGGGGCAGCCGGCCACCCTGACAACTCCAAGCAGTTTGGACAAGAAGCTGTACTGCTCTGCCCCTGAACTGGAGGACTTATTAGCACTGCCGTTGGTGGACCAGCCGGTAGCGACCCTATCCTCCTCCTCCATGGTTTCCACAGATGCATTGGACAGCCTCAAAGCTGAGGACAGAAGGATGGAGTGGGCCTTTTGCAAGTCACATCAGGCGGTGGCCTGGGCGATCAGATCAGCAACAGCAACATCCTTTTTCAACAGGGCATCCCTCATTTGGATACGGCAGTTACAGGAAAGTCTTCCTCCCAAGGACACCCAGGCTACATCAAGACATAAACAAGATTGTAGCTGCCACTGAATATGCCGCGGATGCATCTCTAAATTTGCCTTGAGAGCACTTGCTTCAACCATCATGATGAGAAGGCTGTTCTGGCTACGCCCCTGGAAAGCTGACCTTAAAGCAAAATGGAAGCTGGCCGCAGCCCCGTATAAAGCTCCAGACCTATTCGGGACGGCATTAGAACCCGTCCTGATCGAGGACAAGGACAAGAGGAAGGTTCTCCTGTCGGCTTACCTTCGCCAGGAGCACAGATATACACCATATCCTCACCAGCAACCCTTTCGTCCCAACTCGGGGTCCAGAGCGCCCCACCTCAGCGCTCCCAATTTCAGAGCGGTGATCGACAACAGGGACACCAGTTTCGAGACCGCGGTCGAACTCAACAGTCCAAGCGATCCTTTCGTGGGGCCGGTTTCAAACCCGCCAGGAGGGGGAAGTCACGCCAGAGCCACGGGCCCCATCGGCCGGAGGCTCCGCCTTTTCCACCAGCAATGGGCCCGGTCAACATCGGACTTATGGGTAAAGCGCACAACCTCATCAGGTCTCTCCATTGAATTCTTGGGGCTCCCCCCCGTCACTTCTTGCGCTGCCTGGTCCCGCACTCCAAGGAGCTCAGCCTCTTGATGTCACAAGAGATCGCACATCTTCTGGAGATCAGGGCCATAGAACTGGTACCACCAAGTCAGCAGGGCTCGGGTTTCTACTCAATTCTCTTCCTTGTACCCAAGAATTCCGGAGGTTGGAGGGGCATTTTAAACCTAAAACAGCTGATTTGGGCAGTCCAATACCGCAGGTTCAAAATGCACTCCCTCCGGTCGATACTAGCACGGGTGAGGCAAGGAGACCTGCTCCAGTCTGTCGACTTATGAGAAGCCTATCTGCACGTGCCCATTCATCCCAATCACCAACAGTACCTGAGGTTCGAGTATGCGGGTCAGCACTGCCAGTATTGTGCAATGCCCTTCAGACTCTCATCAGCGCCCCGCACCTTTACCAAGCTGGTAGCAGTGGTGGTGGCCACGTTACAAGCAATTCCGGTGCGGGTTCTCTGTTACCTCGACGACATTTTGGTCCTCTCATCGTCACACGGCCAGGGGGTCAGAGACATGGAGCTGGTCCTGAAAACTTTCCAAGATCACGACTTCACGATCAACTTCGAGAAAAGCCATCTACAGCCTTCCACCCGGCTTCTGCACCTGGGGGCGGTGATAGACTCGGTCAAGAGCCAGGTATTTCTGTCCCCGGAGAGAATCCAGAGCATTTAAGACCTGATCCAGCAGGTCTTGACACGGGGGAAAGTACCCCTACTGCAACTATCATGCCTGCTAGGGAAGATGCTCTCCTGCTTCAGCATCGTACCGTGGGCACGCAGACACTCACGGGCTCTCCAATGGTTTCTACTCCCCTTCCAACGAGCGGGCAAAGCCAACTCGAAACACGAGGTGATCCTACCGCCCCAGGTCCGTCTCTCCCTCAGTTGGTGGACGTCTTCCTCGCTCCTCAAGGGCTGTGAATTTCTAGACCCGGACAGACTGATTCTCACCACAGACGCAAGTCTTCGGGGGTGGGGCGCTCACCTTCACAACCTAGTGGCTCAGGGCCAGTGGTCACGGCACAAACGTCACAGCAGCATCAATCTCCTGGAACTCAGGGCGATCAGACTGGCCTTATGCCAATTTCAAGCCGCGGTGCAAGGCCATCACGTATTGATCTTGACGGACAATATCTCGGCCAAGGCACATGTGAACAGAGAGAGGGGCACCAGATCTCGGGCACTGATGTTCGAGTCCGAGACCCTGTTCGCCTGGGCAGAGAGACACCTGCTCTCGATCAGGGCAGATCATATCTCGGGATCGACCAACGTCAGAGCGGATTGGCTCAGTTGAGAACTGATAGATCCAGCGGAGTGGCAACTCTACTCCCGCCTATTTCGGGAACTCTGCGCTCGGTTCGGGACTCCGGAGGTAGATTTGTTTGTGACTCCGGCCAATGCCCAGCTACCACGCTTCATGTCTCGCTACCCAACGCCACAGGCAGAGGACCAAGATGCTCTGCGATGCAGGTGGCCCAGCAGTCTGTTATACGCCTTCCCACCAATTCCACTCCTACCACGCCTCATTTGGAAGTTACTGGCTGAGAAAGCCGACTTACTGCTACTGGCTCCCAACTGGCCCTGAAGAACGTGGTATGCCGACCTCGTAGCTCTATCCGTAAACCAACCGTGGCTGATTCCACCACACCAGGTAGTGCTACGCCAGGGGGCGGTCAGTCATCCAGAACCTCAGTGGCTTCAATTGGCCGTCTGGCACTTGAGAGGGTCATTCTAAAGAAGGACAGGTTGTCGGATGGGGTCGTCAGCACCATCCAGGCGGCCAGATGACCTTCTACATTTCGCATATATGAGGCCTCATGGCGGGCATTCTGTTGCTGGTGCTCGCGACATCATGTGGATCCTACATCTGCGGAGGTCCAAGACGTTCTCGAATTCCTGCAGACTGGACTGGACAATGGACTGGCCCCCGCTACCCTAAGAAGTCAGACAGCAGCCTTATCTACGGTCATATCGTGTGAACCTTACCAGTCACTGTCTCTGCACCCACTTATCAAGGGGTTTCTGCATGGGGCTACAAACCTGCGCCCTCCCCCCCCCACAGTGCACCGTTATCCGTCATGGGATCTTCCTCTTGTGTTCCGGGCCTTGATGTCCCCTCCATTTGAACCTTTGGGATCAGTCGCTCTCAAGTACTTATCCTTTAAAGTGACATTCCTCCTGGCTATTACCTCAGCTAGGAGAGTCTCAGAACTGGCGGCTCTTTCTGTTCGAAAGGATCTGTGCATCTTCAGAGACACCACTGTGACAAGTAATATTCAATCAATATATTATTGAGAAGTACATTTCCATTAAACTGCAGTAATAAACCATTTTTTTTATTGGGATGTCCCAAAGGTGTTTTTTTCAAAAGGCAACTGGACTGTCTTTGTTTTTGTTTGAAGATGTGTCACTTCTCATCCAAGAAGCTTCTTCAGAACTGAAGAAGACCAAAATTAATTATGCATTAAAACATTATAATAATTGTTGTAAATATACTACTTCAGGTATGTCAATAACTATCATAACTTATGAACTTTTAAATTTTTTAACCTATTCCACTATTTAATTTTGATTTTACATTGTTCATCTGCTTTCCTCATTATTGCTCTTTTGGTTAAAAGAGCATACTGTATGCTTTTATTCATTTAACATTTATTTACCCCTTTTATAAATATATGACTTGTAATTAAAATTTATTATAGAAAATTCTGTAAACCATTATAGCTAATGAGAGCATGAGTTACAACATTAAGCTATCATTTGGTAAATATTTGTCTGATTTATTTTAAAAGTGTGTGTGACAAAAGTCACAAGAGTTTTCAAAAGTTGAGAATATTTAATTATAAAGTGAGCAAATGTATGATGCATGTTTTATATTACATTCATTGGAAAATATTAATCAGGAAAGATTCAGATATAATAGATTATAATCCTGCATGCATGCCTGTTTTAAGACAATTTAAATTTGCTTCGATTTGGAATTTTATCATAGAGATGCACAGATCTTTAAAGTGCTTGTTATCATGTTATATTTTCAGCTGTAAATTTAAATAAATGGTTGGAGACTTTGTCATTATTCCCATGCCTTGCCATGAAAAGGATATCCTAATTCTAAAAAGTGATGTGTTAATAAGTGTTCTAAATTATTAATAGAATAATCTGGAGAATTTTCAATAAACTTGGTTTGTGCTACATCATGCCTTACAGCTTGTCAATTTTATCTGATGTTTATTTCCTCTGTTTTAATTTGTAGGGCTGCTGTAATATAGATCATGAGCAGGTAATGCACAAGGAGTGCTATTGGGAATCATGTCGGACGAGTCAGTCTCAGGGAGTGATCCAGATGTGGACCCAGATTTGGAGCAGGAGGATATGGAAGAGGAAGAGGAGGAAGAAGATGATGAGGAAGCAATGGAAGAGGATAATGATGGAGATGATGAAGAGGATTTACTTGATGAGAATGGTGAGTTAATGGGTTCGGGAAGTAATGAACATTTTGCTGGAAGTGTGTAATCTGGTGATTTTAATTTTATACAGAAATATAGTTTTAATTGTTTAAATCTTATACAAAATGCAGATTTGTTCATTCTGGAACATTTGATGCAATTTTGGAACACTTTAATTGATAAGGAGCAGCCACGTCCTGGGTTGGTAACTTGTACTGCTATGACTAAAACAATATGTCAAATTTGCAACCTGGACAGAGCCATTTAGCCAATGAAGCCTACATCTTGCAAAAGTATCCAAAGAATGTTATGCTTTTAATTCACACAACAATATCTATTATATATTTCCTGTAAAATAATTGGTATGTCAGGATTCCTAATTAATCATAAGCCTCAAGCCAAGCTTCAAAAGAAATCCAGTTATTTATTAGGAACGCCATGTCGGCACGAACCAAGTAAAGCCAACTCTGACCTCACTTAGTTCCCACCTTGACTCTGACCCTGTTTCCCCCTCCACCCTGATCCTGACCCTGTTTCCCCCTCCCCACACATGAAGGTGTGTCATCACATTCCCCAACGAAGCAATTTCACAGGCTGTAGAAGTCACTTCCTTCGGCCAGTGTGGGTCTCCTTGGAAACAGCCTTGACAATCACAGGCTGGAATGTGCTTTATTTTGACTGATGTACAAGTTTCTTGATGCAGCTGCGAGGCTCAGTTCCCCATCCCCCTGCCTATGGCAACTCGAGAGCAGGTCAGGAATGCTTCGCGAGTTGACATTGTACTTAAAAAGAAGATTTGAATAAAATAAAATTACAGCCAAAGTTGTATGTAGCTTCTTTTGTTAAAAAAATCTCTGTCATGGAAATGTACTAAAATGCAGAGTATTCTATATTCTCAGTATGTGAATATCAGAATAATGTTCTGCTATTTTTGATTATTTTAAACAATCTGACTTATTGATAATTATTCGATACACAAGTCTGAAATTCTGTAAAGCACTGAACACCCCCCATATCTTTTGGAAATGTTATTCATTTTTTTCTGGTATCTTTGGGAAGAGATATAAGACTCAGTAAAAAATGCAAGATGAATTCCTTGAATTGAAAAATAGATTTCTAGTATTGGACTATCAGATGATTCAAAAATACCTTACAGTCAAAAAATGAATGTGGTGGCCTTTGTTATATCTAGTACAATGGTAGAATTTTAGTGGGCTCAATTAAAACTATGTAACTAATTCAGGTTGATAGTTGTATCTTTGATAAATTTGTTTTGATGTTTTTAAAATCCAGTATGATCTTTTGGGAGTGTTTCAGTGATATTGGCAGCTTATGGTTAGCTGTGAATGTGCATGATTATGCCAGCTCCCACACCTAGCTTCTTTAAAGTGTATTTTCCTGCCTGCCTCTTGTTTCCACCCTCTAACCAGAGAGAAAAAAATAATTTAGCAGTAGGCAGATTGCCATGAGCAATTGACTAGCAGTGGTTGTTAGCACATGGGTAGGTGAGGTGTAACCAGCTGGTGTTCAAGATAAATAAAAGCTATGATTGTCCACATTCTTTTGCATCTGTATCCTTGGCATCCTTTCAGAATCATTTCATAGTTACTGCCAGGATTTAAAAGTTCAGAAAGAGAGGAGGCAAATCTTCTAGTTTTAGTGCAGAGGCATCTGAAAAAACCTAAGTAATAAATACTTCCTTGTTACACTTATAGCTTTATGCCTGCTTTTTATGGTAAAGAAAAATAAGACAAAATTGACTGTTTGAAAGTGTGTGATTTTTAAGGGCTAGATGAGAGAAACCTATTTAAAGATGCTTGGGTTTTTAAAAAATTATTGTGGTTTTATTTGTTGACAATATTTATATACTATACAATACGAAAAGTCGTATTGTATAGTATATACGATATAAAAAGAATAAACATATTCTTTTACCATATAAAAAAAATAAAAACAAAAAAAATCTCATAATATTTTTTTTTTAAATCGTGTATTTGTTTAAAACATTTAAGGGCCACAATAAATAGCTATTGAAAAGAAATGAAGGTTGAAGGAGACATTGTGGATGTATACTAAAAGATATCTATAATATCTGTATAAATAAGTAAATACATATTCTCATTGAGCGTGGGGCCAGCGGTCAGGAATGGGTTAACTCTCGTCTGATGTCCATGGACCAAGTCTGCAAGATGTTAAGCTCCTCCTCTTTCTTCTGCTTTCCAGCTTTCAGACTCGGTCTGATTTGGACAAGACACGACTTTCTGAGCTGACCCATTTCTCACTGCTTGTACCAGCAATTGTTGGGTCCTTTGTATTACAACCGCTCCCAGTTACCTGGTTGAGCTTGCCAGAGTGAAGGGTCTTGCGCCCGAGCCCTCTGAAGGCCACTTGTCGGCGTTTCTGGGCTGGGGGCTCCCAGTCCCTGGTAGACCCGCCCCACCTTCTGCCTGAACAGCGTGAAGGTCTCATGCCCGATACCGCTGTAGACCGTCGGAATCTTCAGGAGTCTCCCAGCATTGCTGGTGGCAGGCTCCTCTTTTGTTCCAGCGGCTTGTCTACCTTCCGCAGCAGTGCGCTTTATTGCACATGTGGAAGTATGTTTGTTATGATGAACTATGTTAAATTGAAACATTTATTGCATTTAACAGTACAAGGAAATAGGAAATAGAAACAGAAGCAAGAGAGACATAAATGTAATTGTTCTGCAGGGATTAAATATTGGGATAGTATCAGTAAATTTAATTATGGGCTTACAGCACTTTGGAACTGGCTGTTCTTTACCAACATAGTGATGACATTTTTTTAAAAAAACTGCTCTTCATTTTTGAAGGGAACACTTTGTTTTAGAGCCTCTTGTACTGTTTGGTATAGATAGCTTGTAGACTGGCTTCTGTTTATTTACTGCTCATTATAATAGGGCTCTGTGAAAGGCAACAGGAGACCTGTACTAAAACTTATTTTAATATACATTATATACTGTGAGTTGAGTTGCTATATGAGATAGATGGCCATAGAAGTCTTGTAAAAAAGGAAGGAAGATAAATACCATTGTTATACTGAGGGTGGAGATGGGGAAACAGGTACATTAATCAGTTGTGTAAATAACTCTCTCAGCTATATGCTTGTTAAATATTATACTTTAATTGAATATACTTGACATAGGGTATAGCAGTGATGGCGAACCTTTTTGGCATTGCGTGCCAAAAATCTGAGCGGGCGAGCGCTGTTGCACTCCCGCGTGCCAGAACCCATAATGCAATGCACGCTCCCATTTACGCATGCATGCACGACACCCCCCACGCTCCCTCTACACATGCACCCACACTGAGCATGCATGCCCCCCCAATGCGCCCCCCACTTTTTCCAAGTGGGCCAGCATACCTCTTACCAGAGGACAACTAGGTACCGGCCCGTTCCCTGGTGAGACAGCTGTTCCCCACCTGGCGCATGGTGCTGCCAAGATGGCGGTGCCGAGACTGCCCCCGACGAAGCTCCAAACCGTGAGGCTTGCCTGGGCTCCTTCCCACTGGGAGCTGCAGGTCGAGCAGGTGGTGGATGGGGGACAGGCTGCACCTATCGCCACCTAAGTGGAAAGCCCAAAGATGCATATGCTGCCCTCAGCGCTTCCCCGCTGCCACCTCCGCGCCTTGCCTGTTTCCCCAGCTCCTCTTCTCTAAATGAGCACTCAACAGCTGGGAAAAACAGGAGCCGGCACACTCGCTCTGCCCCACAATTCTGTTCAGCTCAAGTTCATGGAAATCATGTGGTGGCCCTTGAAACTTTAGGAGGGAACTGGCTCCGAGATTGGGAGGCAGCCTTTGGCGGAGCCAGCCCGATGGGAAACTGAAAAGAGAGAGTCTTTTCCCTTCTTCCGCCTCGCTCGTGGGCTGTGGGGTTTGGGATGGCTCTAGAGCCGAAATTCTGATGAGCTTGGCTGATGATCGGGCAACACCAGAGCTTCCTGCTACACGCGCTCATTCTCTTGCCTGTCTTCTTTCCCTGTTTAAAAGAGCCGAGATCTGACTAAAGAGCTGTGCTTTAGCTGTGCTAAAGAGCTGCCTCCTGCCTTCCACGATCTCCGAAGTTCCTCCCCCATCGAATCATAGCTTTCTCCTGCCTTCCACGATCTCCAAAGTTCCTCCCCCATGGAATCATAGCTTTCTCCTGCCTTCCACGATCTCCAAAGTTCCTCCCCCATGGAATCATAGCTTTCTCCTGCCTTCCACGATCTCCAAAGTTCCTCCCCCATCGAATCATAGCTTTCTCCTGCCTTCCACGATCTCCAAAGTTCCTCTCCCATCGAATCATAGCTTTCTCCTGCCTTCCACGATCTCCAAAGTTCCTCCCTCATGGAATCATAGCTTTCTCCTGCCTTCCACGATCTCCAAAGTTCCTCCCCCATGGAATCATAGCTTTCTCCTGCCTTCCATGATTTCCAGAGTTTCCTCCCCCATCGAATCATAGCTTTCTCCTGCCTTCCACGATCTCCAAAGTTCCTTCCCCATTGAATCATAGCTTTCTCCTGCCTTCCACGATCTCCAAAGTTCCTCCCCATGGAATCATAGCTTTCTCCTGCCTTCCACGATCTCCAAAGTTCCCCCCATGAAATCATACCTTTCTCCTGCCTTCCACGATCTCCAAAGTTCCTCCCCCATGAAATCATACCTTTCTCCTGCCTTCCATGATCTCCAAAGTTCCTCCCCCATGGAAATCATACCTTTCTCCTGCCTTCCATGATCTCCAAAGTTCCTCCCCCATGGAATCATAGCTTTATCCTGCCTTCCACGATCTCCAAAGTTCCTCCCCCATGGAATCATAGCTTTCTCCTGCCTTCCATGATCTCCAGAGTTCCTCCCCCATCGAATCATAGCTTTCTCCTGCCTTCCATGATCTCCAAAGTTCCTCCCCCATCGAATCCTACTTTTCTTCTGCCTTCCACGATCTCCAAAGTTCCTCCCCCATGGAATCATAGCTTTCTCCTGCCTTCCACGATCTCCAAAGTTCCTCCCCCATCGAA